GGAGTGATGGAGGGGCTCATAAGGGCCGGAGGAGTGATGGAAGGGCTCATAAGGGCCGGTGAGTGAAGAAGGGGGGCATAAGGGAAGATAGAGTGATGGAGGGGCTCATAAGGGAAGATGGAGTGATGGAGGGGCTCATAAGGGCAGATGGAGTGATGGAGGGGCTCATAAGGGAAGATAGAGTGATGGAGGGGCTCATAAGGGAAGATAGAGTGATGGAGGGGCTCATAAGGGAAGATAGAGTGATGGAGGGGCTCACAAGGGAAGATAGAGTGATGGAGGGGCTCATAAGGGAAGATAGAGTGATGGAGGGGCTCATAAGGGAAGATAGAGTGATGGAGGGGCTTATAAGGACAGGTGGAGAGATGGAGGGTCTCATAAGGGCAGGTGGAGTGATGGAGTGATGGAGGGTCTCATAAGGGCAGGTGGAGTGATGGAGTGATGGAGGGGCTCATAAGGGCCGGAGGAGTGATGGAAGGGCTCATAAGGGCCGGTGGAGTGAAGAAGGGGGGCATAAGGGAAGATAGAGTGATGGAGGGGCTCATAAGGGAAGATAGAGTGATGGAGGGGCTCATAAGGGAAGATAGAGTGATGGAGGGCTCATAAGGGCAGATGGAGTGATGGAGGGGCTCATAAGGGAAGATAGAGTGATGGAGGGGCTCATAAGGGAAGATAGAGTGATGGAGGGGCTCATAAGGGAAGATAGAGTGATGGAGGGGCTCATAAGGGAAGATAGAGTGATGGAGGGGCTCATAAGGGAAGATAGAGTGATGGAGGGGCTCATAAGGGAAGATAGAGTGATGGAGGGGCTCATAAGGGAAGATAGAGTGATGGAGGGGCTCATAAGGGCAGATGGAGTGATGGAGGGGCTTATAAGGACAGGTGGAGAGATGGAGGGTCTCATAATGGCAGGTGGAGTGATAGAGAGGCTCATCCATGGCACCATTCCGTGATTCAGCTCGGGGCTCCTCATTCTCAGTGCTCACACCTGCCTGTAAACTTTTCAGATCCTACAAAAATGCACAAACATTATACAAAAGCAGCATTTGATTTGATGGAGGGGTGCATTCTGAGCAGAGGTGCAACTGAGCAGAAAGCTCGGTCCCCCATAGTACGAAGTCTGGTGGTCGGGACCTGAAGAAGCAGGTGACCTGATGATCTGAGAGTGTGGGAGGAGGATTTCAAGGTGATGAGTTCTTGTTAACCTTGAGTTTTGGATGTATTGTAGCTTCTGCATGTTTCTGGCAGAGATTCCAGTGAAGAGTCCATTACAATAATCCAACTTGGTGGAAATAAAAGCATGGACAAGTTTCTCTGCATCCGAAAAGGTTAAAAGAGGACGTAGTTTGGAGATATTTTGAAGATGGTTGAAGGAGGTTTTGCAAATATATTTAATGTGTTCGTTGAAGGTCAGCTGCGGGTCAAACCTAACCCCAAGGTTTGTAACTGTGGAGGAGAAAGTGATGGCTTGGTACAGGGGAGGAGTGGATCTGGTGTGGGGTTCCAACAAGTAATGCCTCCGTTTTACCAGAATTTAGCTCGAGGAAGTTGCTTGTCAACCATTTCTTTATCTCCAGAAGATATGTTGAGTCGCGACAGAATTGTGGAGGAGCTTGGAGCAGTTTTAATATAAAGTTGCAAATCATCTGCATGTGAAAGGATAGACCATATCTGCTGATGACAGAACCGAGGGGAAGCAGGAATAGGATAAATAGGATAGGGCCGAAAAACGACCCCTGTGGAACACCAACACGTAACAGGGAACAGCCTGGACTCACATTCTCCTAAAATGACTCGTTCAGTCCTGTCAGAGAGGTAGAACTGAAACCACTGCAGTGCTGTTCCTGATAGTCCAACCGTATTGTGGAGGCGGTACCGAAGGATGGTATGGTCGACCGTGTCGAATGCCGCTGTTAGGTCGAGTAAGATGAGCAGTGATGGTGATCCTGAGTCAGCTGCCATGATAAGGTCATTTGTCACCCTTAGCAGAGCTGTTTCGGTGCTGTGGGCCGAACGAAAACCTGATTGAAAAACCTCATATAAGTTATTGTGTTCTAGATCGTTGTGAAGCTGAATGGCAACTTCCTTCTCTACAACCTTTGACAGGAAGGTGAGCTTGGAGATTGGTCTGTAGTTTCCCAGGACCTCTGGGTGTAGGGTTGGTTTCTTCAGTATCGGACGAATGACAGCAGCTTTAAGGGCAGGAGGAACAACGCCTGTTTTTAGTGAGAGATTAATAAACTCAGTGAAGATTGGGCTGACAGTGGGGAATGAGTGACTTGAGCAAAACAGTCGGGATGGGATCCAAGATGCAGGCGGAAGGCTTCATTTTATTGATGATTTAACATCCCGTCCTGATTTAGGTCAAGTGTCAATAATCAGCTTGAAAATCACACAAGTATAGAGAAAAAGGTGGTCATTAGTGATAAAGAATTTGTCCATCAAACAAGATCCAAAAGCAGGAAGATCCATGGGTCATGGTGATATTCATTGAACTACTGTATATCCCAGTAGAAGTTACAGTGACAGCTTATTCGCAGTCCTCTTCAATGTTCTGGCAAGTGTTGTCAAGTTTCCTGCAGTTGCATGCGTCCATACAATCCATGTGAGTCTTTCTGAATAATAAAAGAATAGAATAAAAAGATTACAACCAGTACAAGTACAGATATATTGAAATACTCTACCAGTCTATCATATTTGTACATTCTTGTACACAATGATCAACATCAGCTAATTCCCTAAACACATACCTGCAGCTGCAGTGTCGGCTGAGACATCCCTTGGTACACGGTGGCGGTAATACTCCTAAGCGGTGATCAGCCAGTAACAAGAAGTAGACGAAGAAGACTGTCGTCATCTCAGTTCTCGCGCATGCGCCCATAAGGAAGTAATGGAATAGTCGAATAAAGTCGTTATTTATGTTTTTTCCGCACAAAAAGTATTCTTGTCGCTTGATAAACTTATAATTGAGCCGCTGTAGGCACATGGGATATTTAAACATTTTCTTTAATGACTTTATGGGCCGTCAAGAGCCAGTCCCTTAGGCAGTCTATGGAAGAGTGATCCAGCTCTCAGATTTAATCAAAAATATCTTTATTTGTGTTCCGAAGATGAACGAAGGTCTTACGGGGTTGGAACAGCATGGGGGTGAGTAATTAATGACTTAATTTTCATTTTTGGGTGAACTAACCCTTTAACTGGGAGTTTGACTTCACCCAGGTGAGCACTATCACTTATCTCAAAGTTTTTAGGAAAGGTATTACTTTTGAACATTTTAAACATCCATTTCCAAATTTATCTTTTGCTTTTCAGAGGCGGTGGTGGGTGAATCCGCTCTTGTCAAAAATGGCACATGGAAGGTATAGATAGAATATGTAAATAAAAACTATTTTGGCTAAGTAATGTTTTTTAATGAAATACGTTTTTTTGTTTTTTTTTTTGTTTTTTAGAAAGAGGAAGTCCACATCAGCCATGTCAGAAGCAATCAGTCAAGTAGAGAACATGGAAATCTTGATGGTAGTGGGACATTCAATATGACAGAAGCAAAGGTTGAACAGATTTCAAGCCTTTATTATCTCACAAACTGAGCCGGACAGTATCGGAGTACATTTACTTGAGTACAGTACTTAAGTACAATTTTGAGGGATCAGTACTTTACTCGAGTATCATTTTTAGGGAGTACTCATGACTTTACTCAAGTATATTTGAGATGGAAATATTGTACTCTTTACTCCAATACATTTCTATCCATAACCGTGAGTACACGTTACTTCTTAAAAAAAAAAAAAAATGGAAACAAGGAAAATCTCGGAAACCCTCAAATTGTTGTTTCCCTCTCAAACGTGATTGGATTGTGCAGCTGCCACTGATTGGGACAACCTATCAGCAATCACCTTCAGCTTTCTGCCAAAGTCAACTCCATGGTCAGATATAGAAAAGAGACCAAACCATGGACGAAACCAATGGATAAAGACGCAGCAGGTCCATCCCGGGAATGTGCCAGCCCGTGGCCCCACCTCGCCAGACTATGTTTCAGTTTAGTTTGCGCCAACCCTGGGTTTTAGGTACCATGAAAGTGGTTTGGCTTTTAGCAGTGTTCATCGTCACAGTAACTTACACTCCACGGCTAACCTGGTCCGGGGCAGGTTATGTTCCAGGTAAGAGGTTGCAAACCGAACTTGGACCAATCAGCTGTGAGCAAAGTGACACATGTCTGACGCTATAAAGTCACTCCACAGCAAATGATTTTAAAAGATAAAATCATGGCTTTTAGTAAATAAATTTGTATGATTTAGAAATTATTTCTGTAATTATTATACCCTAAAACGATCTCACATGTACAATTTCAGTACATCAATTATTATTAGGCAGATTTTAAATGACTACGTATATAAAGGTAATATAAATACGCTTTAGAATCAATAAATAAGCTATAAAATGCCTACATGTGAGCTTAAATGTTCAATTCTCTCTATACCTTTATCAACTGTATAAACTAACTTCACAACTTTTACTTGCACTGATATACAGTAGCGAGACTTTCTTTTAGTTGTCCTTTTTCATAGACAGCTATTTTCTTCTTGCTGTGTAAATTTGTTTAAATTCTTAATATTTTAATACTTTTATTTAATAAGTGAATTGCGGTACTTCTCTCGCGAGAAATTACTTTCAATGAGTTTTGAATGAGTTTCACTCTTTCTCAGCATGTAATTGGCTGATCGCTAATGAAGTCATACCTAAACTCCTTAACTCAAGATCGAAGCCTGAGTTGACAGAGAAAGGTAATGATCAGCATCATGGTACCAACAAAGCCTGGTTGGATTGGTTTGGTTTTATTAACTCGAAACTAATCCTGAAACCCTGAGTTTGTTCAAATACCATCATGGTACAGGCCCCTGGTCTTCTTTCATCATATCTGGTCCTGGGCCTTTAAGCGGTTATTATCCCCTAACACTAGAAACCAGGTCAATCTTGTTAAACCATGCTAAACATTGTACAACTTTCTGGTTAGGCTTTTTCAAGCCAGTTTTCTGCAAACTTTACCATCTTGTTCATGATTGCTGATCATTCTGATTTCAGAAAAATCAAGCCTGTTTCAAAAGTTACAGCTGCTTTATTAAACAAATACAATAATGTATTTAAGTACTGAAAATGTAAAACTGAACATAATGATGCAAAAAAAACTTGATTTACTGATCACAGTCACTCCTGTCGTCATGTGTGTATTATGCTGCTTCCTGATATCACATGCACTCACACATATAACCTTATATACAGTATATATATATATATATATAAACCAGTTAGGTCCAGGGTTCTCAGGGATGCAAACACATGTATGGTCAAAAAAGAGAGAGGTAATCGAAGCCGTCGCCAGCAGAAAATATCCAGAAACTTACATGTCCGAGACGAGTCCGAGTCTCGAGTACTACAACACTGGCATTTACAGCGGGTCTATTCGCACACGATTAGTGTCATTTTTCCAGCAGGTGAAAGTGTCTGTAATCTGTACTGATATTGAGCGTGATGATGACTGAGATGCACATTCAGACGGGACTAACATCACTGAGAAGCTCCGGTGATAATGACTCTCCATGTTAAACTAGTGCCGCCTGAAAGGGCTTTAGTCGCAGTGTGAGGGCCTGATAAACACACACATCAGATCAACAGAGGAGCAAACGCCTGAGAAAGCCATGATAAGCTGCAGATCTTGAAGTTTGCATGAGTTTAATGTCACAGTGGCTCGAGCGGGTACACCGTTGGGCAGTTGGTCTGGTCGGTCACCAGTAGACTGGGCTTTCCCTCCAGCACAGCGGGACACACCCAGTTCACCTTCTCTGCGTGCTGGAAACACAGGCGGGGTGTCGTCTCCTCCTCGTCCTCGTCCCGCGTGTTCTGGCGCCTCCTGGTCCTCCTCTTCCTCTTGCTGTGCTCCACCAGCGGGTGCCGGCTGAGGTCCCAGAGAGCCACACGCCCGTCGTTGCCTCCGCTGGCGAGCCAGTACGGGTGCGAGAGAAAGCTGATGAAGTGAGCCTGCGACGCCCCCTGACTGTGTGCCGGGATCATCCCGCGCTCCCGGAGCCGGCCGTCGGCACACACCCGCAGCAGGTGCAGCCCGCCGTCCTCCGCCGCGCACACACACACGTCCCCGCAGGACGACACACACACGCAGTGAGCCAGAGGAGGGTTGAACACCTGCCCCGTGTGCTCCTGCTGTGTGTCCTGCAGACTGACGCTCCAGACGGGACGGGGCTTCGGCAGGGTCCACAGACACACCTGCGGGCGACACACACACACCTGTCACGCATGTCTTTACTGACACTTTTGATCATTGGCGAATAAAAGTATTGATTTCTTTCCCCATAAAAATATAAATAATAATTCTTACTGTCCCCAAACTATTGAACAGATTATATTTAGATTAATGCTGTTCTTTTGAACTTTCTAATCATCAAAAAATCCTGAAAACCCCCCATAAATAACCGTTTTCAGCATTGATAATAACCATAAATGTTTCTTGAGCATCAGATCATCATTTTCGAATGATTTCTGAAGGACACCAGTCAAACTCATCCGTTTACATGCAGGTCTACAGCCAAAGCTAAACTTATTCAGACACCAGATATCATTTTTGATTTTTTTTACTAGTGTGTGCAGGACACTATAGTTCACTTATGTAAGTGAGGAGAGCAAAATAAAGTAAACTGTGACATACCCAAAACTTCTTCATACAGTGAGCGAATACAAACATTTGGGATCCAGAGCGGACCATGTTTTGCTGAAGTGTGTTTTCTGTAATTGCTAATGCTCTTTTAACACACACACGCACTGAACAACATGAAGCATTGCTTGGTCACTGGTTGAGCTAAACTGATATTATCTAATTGTGTCGTTAAATTTAACAGCTGACAGATATTCAACATAATTCATCTGTGAGAGTCCAACAGAGGGATGGAGAAAACCATATGATAACTCATGTTTATCACCACTATAGTGAATAAACTGAGATAATGTGAGAAATGTTGAAGGTGAATAAATGTTTGGTTTGACTGTAGTTTAGTTTCCATCATGTGTAATGTGGTTTTTGAACTGTCAGTGTTTTCATGGTTAAAGGTTTGCTTTGCATCATGAACATATAGCTGGTGAAAATGAAGCGCAAACAGAGTATCGAATTTCAAAATATATTGTGGAAAATTGGCAGTAAAAGAAAGAGAAGAGAAACCTTGCTCTTTGGCTTGAATAGAAAGCAGTCTACTTTGTATAGTGACATTATCATCATTTGTGTAGCCCTGCAAAACGATGTTCTTGACTCGAGGCTACATCTTTGTTCAGTTTGTTTTGGTTCTATTACTAAAATTATTATTACTGTTTTGCAGTCATTTTCAATTTAAGTAGAAATATGTTTACATAATCAGCAGGATCAGTTGTGCGTGCTGTTTTTATTAAAACGATTGTGTGGCATATTTAAACTTTTTATATTTAAGAGTTCATTCCTTGACTACTGTTTTGCTTATAATAATATTTATTGCATAATTGGTAAAAAAAAAAATGCTTCGGTTTGAATGTAGGGACCCTTATTGTGCTACCGTGTTAGTGTGGGGCTATTTTGATCCTTGTTAGTGGTAATAACAAGCGATTTTTACTTGTCATTACTCTATGCCCTATATACTAGCGTTATACTAGCGTTATAGGCTAAACTGTTTTACATTCGGCAATCATGAAAACAAATCTCAGATAACGGTTGACTAGGTAACAATGTGTAATTAGACCAAAGGTTCATTTTGCGCCGGAGTTCTCCTTTAAACATTTTGGACATGTAATAGTAAAACGATTGACATTAAATTGAATTGAATTGAATTGAAAAACGACACTGAATGATTACAATATTTAGTCCAAATAAATAAATGTTTGTGTTTCGTACTGATGTTATTCATCTGTTTTCACACGTTTCAGTGTCGCGGTCACTAGTGTAGACGAACACTGACACCCTGTGGTGAAATAATGGCTTGGTTTGGATTTAAACTTAACGTTCCCATGAGTTTTGAAAATTCTGCACACGGTAAACATCAGAATATCCCTTCTTCTGTCAATAAAAATGTCCAAAATATAAAATCTTATTACAGACACTCATTTTAGGTGGTGTTTGTTCAACTCATTGACCGCAGTACATTGAAAGTAAAAATAACCGGAAATAAGTGATATTGTTTCCAAACGGAAGTGCGTCGCGAAGCTCAGTGCGAGTAGTCCATTGAGCTTTTCAGCCATTTCGACAGCCCTACTGTGAGATATCATATAAAGGCTTTATCGCCCATTAGAAACAGGATGATCTTGATTCTCTGAGAAACCCTTATGTTCACAGCGCCGCCAGCGAGCGCTTCAGAGCGTCGTCGTACCTGCATGTCGAGTCCCGCAGACACCAGGCTCTGAGGCCGGCGCGGTCTGAAGGCCACGGACGAGCAGATGTTGGTGTGTGTGCGCAGCGTCCCGCTGGCCTTCATCAGCTGGAGATCCACGAGGGTCACGGCCCCGGTGTCGTCGCCCGCAGCGAGCGTTCGCCCGCTCTCGTCCACACACACACCGTTGATCTCGTCCTCGGCCACGTCCTCCAGCTCCGCCAGCGGCGTCTTCAGGCTCCGCAGGTCCAGCAGGGTCACGGCCCGCCCGTGACAGGCGCACAGAAGCGAGGCGTTGGCCGGGGAGAAGCACAGGCCCGAGACGTCAGCGCTCAGGCGGAGCGAGGACAGCGGAGAGCCGGCGGGGCTCCACAGGGTCAGCTCTCCGGCCTCGGCTCCGGTCGCCACCGCCGACTCGCAGGACACGGCAGCGCACAGCACCGGGGAGGAGTGACCGCCCGTCCACACGCGGGACATCCTGACCTACACACACACCGAAGAGTCAGAGCTCAGCTTACAATCAATCATATACAAATACTCATCACTGTGATCTGTACTTGGTACTAATTAATTGGTACTTGTTTACTTATAAATCAAATGTGGGTCTATTGCCTCCATGTATTTGCTCTCTTACCCGACACAAACCTGTAGGAGTTTATTCTTTGCGCTCACAGGATTTTTATAAAAAAAATGGACATTTCCGGTTTGAGCCGTCAATCTGATTACTAACGGATTATTTGGTTACATGCAAGTCAATAATATTACCCGCTAAAACTTTGATTATAATATCCCAGACAGCAAACTGACATTGAATCAACGTGGAAACGACGTCTCTCATGACATTGAAACAACGTTGATTTTGCTCATCGAATTAACGTTGAACCAACGTCAGACGCGGCATTCTTCAAAGCTAAATGAAAATCGAAAATTGGTTTGCTTTCATAACGTTGAAACAACGCGTTGATGTCAAGTTGATTTTCCGTTAGTTTTGAAAGAATGACGCGTCTGACGTTGCTCCAACGTTAATTCGATGAGCAAAACAATGTCAGATCAACGTTGTTTCGATGTCATATTTCCACGTTGATTCAATGTCAGTTTGCTATCTGGGATATTACCCGCTAAAACTTTGATTACCAAAATTACATTTAATAAATGTCTTCATGCTTTATAATGTCTCAAATGTAACACTACACTGTTGCCTCATTTGGCATTTGTGGTTCTATGAATACGCAAATGAGCCCCGCCTCCACTCCCTCACTCACTCAGAGATCCTCTGGTTGACGATCAACACGTTGATCTGATTGGTTACATGGTCGTTTGTGACATCAGAAACACCAGCGATTTCACACCGTATTTTGCAGGTTCACTGCAGTTTTAAGGAGGAAACACTCAGCAATGCTGTCCACTTATGGTGTTTCTTTATGTAAATTCATATTGAAAACACCACATAGACACATAAACAACGTTAAACGCTGGACTTTAAAACAGGCAATGAAATGGTATACACTACCGTACAGGCTTTCATATTATAAAGTAATTGATTTGTTGACTAGATGCTGCATTAGTGGAGACCAGTGTGTTGAAGCTGACAGGACGCTAACATTAGTACCTCAAATGTGTACGGTCACGATCATTTCCATCTAAGTTGCATTAGTTTATATCAGGCTTCTTACTTTTATGTGTTCGATAAGCAGCACAGTTGTGCAGCCGACAGAAACATATAACTTAACCGAATCAGAAACGCATTCAATTTCAGCTCTTTTTTATTGTTTCTATAATACATATTTTGATTAGATAATCAAGTGATTCCTAAAATAAACAAATAAGCAAACAAAGTGTGAGAAACACGTGACTGTCACTTTTTATATTTAAATAATAAAAATAAATAGTTAAATAATAAATAAATAGTTTCTCTAGTATGCTAACATGAATGATGAGGTATTTATGAATATATTAACAATTATATTTAAAACAAGTGCACAACATTTTGATGGTCCAGCAGTTTTAGCTACATTTTTGTAATAAAGTTCAGCATCATTTAATGTGTTAGCTACTTTTGTTTTCATTCAGTATACATTTTAAAACGATCGGTTGATTGATCGGTTATCGAGTTAAACCACCACAGTTACTCGAGATGACGACAATCGTTGATCAACAAAAGACTCGCACTGAAAGATGTCTGTAGTGATGTTGTTGTTGCAAACGAATCTTATAAGTGATCGACTCATTCTTCATTAGGGATGTTTTCCACCTTGACAAAGTAGCTGTCAACCAAACTAAACCCGAAACCCTTATGAGAAACACGAAAGGCTGTGATTTAAATAAGGCTTGAGGATGAGTGCACGAGTTCTGTCTTCATCAGGAACTAAACGCGTTCAGAAGTCAAACATGCATTCTGTCAAATTTAACACACATGCTCTTATGTTCCTGTGAATCGTCAATAGATTATATTCTTTTACTCCATACAAACATCGATTATCAATCTTCACAGACCTGTTATGAATTGCAGCCGTTCCTGAGCAATTTTCTATGCAATTTTCAGGTGCGCGTTATGTCCGTGTCGCCTGCTGATGACGTCGTGAGGACGTATGTCACGTGTCCTCTGCTGATGATGTCATGTGCCTCGTCTCATTTGATATTGTTCATATGACCGTTTTGGAAATATTAATTGGAGATTGATTTGGACTTATAATAACAAACGCTCTATCAATAACGAAGTTTAGGAAATACACTTTAAAACTATACATAAAACTTATCCAAAAAAACAGGTTCTATAGAGTATAGGGGGTTCTATAGAGTCCAAATCAATCTCCAATTAATAATTCCAAAATGGTCAAATGAACAATATCAAATGATAAGGAGAGAAAATGTCATAGATAAGACAATTCCATTATCTGAAATGGTTGTTGTTTGTTTTTGTTTTTTTAAAAGTGATTCTCGTTCAATCCCAGACAGCAAACTGACATTGAATCAACGTGGAAATGACGTCTCTCATGACATTGAAACAACGTTGATTTTGCTCATCGAATTAACGTTGAACCAACGTCAGACGCGGCATTCTTCAAAGCTAAATGAGAATCGAAAATTGGTTTGCTTTCATAACGTTGAAACAACGCGTTGATTTCAAGTTGATTTTCCGTTAGTTTTGAAAGAATGACGCGTCTGACGTTGGTTCAACGTTAATTCGATGAGCAAAACAATGTCAGATCAACGTTGTTTCTATGTCATATTTCCACGTTGATTCAATGTCAGTTTGCTATCTGGGATGCCACGTACCCTATCCAAACTTGAGTCGAGATTTATTTTATCATAACCTTTCGAAGGAAATGGTCATATACTATTTTCACCTGTTTTTTTTTTCTTTCTTTTTTTTCGAATTGTTCATCTGTACTACAAATCCTCTTTCCTTATACACAAAAACTGACTATAAGACTTGGCTTCTTTTCTTAGATGGAGGATAGTAACTTTTAGAATGTAGAAAACTATTCTTATGTATGGATTTACGAAATACTGTCGCTGTAGCGCCTGATCTAAAAATCAATCGTCAAGTCTGGAATTTAAAATCGGATGTTTTATCTAGTGACAGGATTGGCCAGTCTTTTCAAAAACCTCCACTATTTGCCTATATAAGAGGTCGCATAATTTGAGAGATATGCAGATAAGAGCTGATTCTTACATTCTGCCTATCAATTTTCTTACAGCCCTTGATCTGGGCAGTTTTCCTTGTAGGAGTTGTGTGAATTGTAATGCGATGATTAGGCTAGGCAATTCCTTTCCACATCCATGGACTGGCAAGATATTCTCTGCGAGAGGGAGAATTACTTGCCGAACGTCCTTTGTTGTGTACTTAAATGCCCATGTGGGCTTTGTTTTGTTGGTAAAAAAAAAAGAGAGTTAAGAATACGATTACACAAACACAAAAGTAACATACGTAATCAAAACAAGTCACCAGTGGCTTGACATTTTAATGAATTTGGGCATGATATTTTTGCTTTGAAATGTCAAGGCATCGCAAACCTCTTCAACGGGGTGGAGATAGGGAGCGCTATCTCCTTCAACAAGCTCTTTCTGGATTTATATGCTTTAAGCGGTGTACCCCAATGGTTTAAATTAAGAATTAGCTTTAAAGTGTTGTGAAACAATTTAATCTGAAATTAATCAACTTAATTCTTATGTTTAAATTTGTGTTCATTTTCAGTTTATTTTATTATTATTTTCTTACTCTTATTATCTTTTTTATTTCTTGGTAATTGTTTTTGAGGGTCACATGTGAGCATTATCTATGGCCTGTTCTGTTGTGTTATTCCACAATGTTAGTAACCCGACGGTCCTGATGATTTGAGGATGTTAATGGGGTTCACCTGTGATTTTAATAGCAATCCCTTTGGTGTTTCACACCACACACTGATGATGGCTTAGGCTGAAACATGTCTGTGTGGACATGGTATTAATAAATATATGAGATATAACTAGGAAGTGCGTTCTCAGCAATATGTTTTAGAGGCATTTAGTATTACATTATATCAGGTTAGATTAGTTATAGAATATTGTTATTAATTATTATAGTAGCTATATTATAGTATTGTTGTATTAATTAAGATTATTTGGATTGCTCCAGATTTGGACTGGACTGCTGGTTGATTTGGATTGCGTGTTTGCTTTGTGACCTCTTGCTTTCTCCTGGTAATGGAGCCAGCAAGATGGAGGAGGTCCTCTCCTGTCCGGGAGTATTTTGAAATGGTTGCTCACAGTAAGGTACGTGTATTCGTTGATATAATAATAATCCTCACTAAATGGCTGTATAATATTTCATGTTTCAAGGTGAAATGCTTGCTGTGCCTGAAGGAGCGGACATACAGCAATAAAATAGAAATGGTGAATGAGGCCCAGGTGAACTTGGTCTTTAGGGACTCCCAACCCTTGTCCATTGTGGAAGATGGTGGGTTTCGGGAGATCCTGCATGTGTTGGATCCCATGTTGTCCCAACTCGAAAGGTATGTGATTAATAAAGTGGCTCATCATTATTTAAAAAGTTGAAAGTAATAGTAACTGCATTTATTTTTTATCCACAGGCTTTGAAGGTCATGGTTAATAATAAATACAAGGAGGCTAAGGAGAAGGCCAGAGAGCAGTTGTACAATCATTAAATGTTTGGCATGCGATTTGCATTGCACAAACACTAAACCTTACTGTGAGGAAATGTTTTGATGACATCAGTAGCTTTAATGAAATTCAATCCATGTGACCTGTTCCCAAACCAGCACTACAGCAAAAGAGAGACTTGTGGAAGTACAGGAGCAGATGTGGAGACCAGGTCTGAAGTGGATCATTGAGGTGGACAGCCCTGGCCTCTCTAAGACCCACGTCACCCCTCCTACAGCCCTGGAGTGAGGCAGTCCAAGATGCTTTACATGTTCTTGCCCCTTTCCCCAGGTTACAGTACAGCTTGTGTCTGCCTCCAAAGTGATGTCTTGACGAAGATGCTTAATCATGCTGGAACGATTAAGCTAAAGGCCTCAAGTCCAATTTAACAAAGGCATCTGAGTGACAGCCTGGACCTTTGTACCTAACTGGGATTCTTAAGTCAAGGGAAACCGCAAGAAGCGGTATCAAGATTACAATCTGAATGTGCTACTGTAACCAGAGGTTCTGGTCTCCAATCTGCTTCCAGCAGTATGTAGGATATTTTTTTCCCCTTTTCTTTGTGCCTCTATTATTGATGACCTTTGGCACCTGCTGGATAGCACGATTGATCACAGTAGAAGAAGAAGTGGAACTACTGTAGAAGTGGACCGCTATTTATCAGAAGTGAATCTCACAAGATCTGAGGATCCTCAGGTATCCATCAGTATCCACATCTATACCAGCTGGCACTGGCATTGTTATGTTCCCCTGCATCCTCTGTCCCTCGCGTGCTGATCTTTCCTCAGATCAAAAAGGGAAACAGCAGGGGAAGACACAAAGAATAACTTGAGAACAGGTAAGAGAGTCTTTCCTTGTTCAAGGTCAGACGAATGCTCAGGCTCAGTGATTTCATGTGGAGCTGAGGAGGTGAATGAATGGTGGCAAGTGTGTGTGATGAAGTGTGTGCAGGAGGGAGCCAAGAGGATTCTGGGAAATGTAGTGACTGGAGATCGCGACAGTGTGAAATATATTTTGATATAGGTTTTTTTCCTCTTTCAGTACGGTGGTTAGAGTTGACCAGCACACACACCATAATAAATCCACTATTGATCATAATATTAATCATATTAATCAATCAGAGTGAACAGAGTAGTTCACTTTTAGAAAAACTTTTGCTGATAATTTACTCACCCCCATGTCATCCAAGATGTCCATGTCTTTCTTTCCTCAGTCGAAAAGAAATTAAGGTTTTTGATGAAAACATTCCAGGATTTTTCTCCATATAATGGACTTCAGTGGGAACCAAACGGTTCAAGGACCAAAAGACAATAATAAAAATAGTAGTACAAAAAAATCAATCGTTCGCTCATTTTGACGTACCCTATGGAAGAGTGACGCCAGCGAGCTAACGCTGGACCAATATTGAGCCTCGTCCAGCCTTTTATTTGCCACTCTCCCTTTTTCTCTTTCTATTGTCCTCTGACAAAACCTTTGGGTACTTGGTTTTACTTGCTGCTTCAGCCATGACAACATACAGAGGTTAGAAAAAACGCTCGTTGGGCTCTCGCGTCGGAATTTGAGGAGGTGGGGGAAGTGATGTATGCCGTAAAGAAGTTTGTAGTTCTTTTTGTGCTCGGGTCCCTACACGCTCCCCGAAGTTACAGAGTGCCAGTAAAAGCGAAACAGACACTCTCAGGCTATGGCAGACCTGTCATTCAACCTATTGTAATTCGATGTACCATCTCAAGGGTTTTGGAAAAAATTTATAAAGGTTAAAAAAGTTACATAGTGCTGCTTTAATCCCACCGTCCAAGAACCAGAGCGCTAGAGCGTTTCAGGCGGCCGGTCCCAATCCTTCAAACACATTAGGTTAGCACCCAAAACTTAAAAACGTACTTATTGTTTATGCCTTTTCAATAAATTTAGTTTTTGGTCAGGTTATTTTACGGTTTAAATGTGCAGTGTCATGTGATGCAATGTGAAGTGTTTTATAACTTTATTATTATGTTTATCTTTAGTTTCATTGCATTATTGTTAGGCACATTTGAACAGTCTTGTGATTGTATGGTGCCATATAAATGAACTGGCAATGTAAATGTGTCCCAAACAGCCAGACGTAGTCTTGGATTGGCTTTTATTTTTTTGACAAGTCAAGCCCACTTCTAGGTCAATGCACAAACAGCAAACATAGCAGTGAAAGGATCCCCATCTGATGTCACAGACTAACACGTGCAGTTTCTCACACTTTCAACCTCTCGATCTCACACATCCGCGCATCTGACACTCATCTCACGACGCTGCCTGTTTGCTGTAAGTACTCTTTTTGTGCTACATTGTTTAATAATTTCTTTTAGCTAAATAATTTGTTACATTCTTTTTGATATTTCCGAGAAAATTAAAACATGTTTAACACAATTGCCCAAAAGCAAAAACTAAAACCACACCAGAAAGTGGATT